CTTGCTGAGTATCAACTACCATGTGTCCTCACCTCCTGAGGAACCTGCGCATGGAACTTCAGTGCTCTACAATGAGGCGCTAAGGGAGAAAATATGCTTGCTGACAAGATCCCATCGGGAACACATACAACGCTGCAGGAAGGTTCTATTTCATCAAATATCTGGTAGCAGTAGGAGACCGTCGGTGAGTGACAGGGAAAACAGGCCTCACGGAGATGTTGAGTAACCACAGGATGTTTAGTCTAGAGAAGAAAGATTATGGGACTTTGATGGTTGTTTTCATCATTTAGAGAACTACTGTGTGACTACAAGGAGAATCGTGAGACCTACTGGGGTTATTTCAGTTGGCCAATAGGAGGGTGAGGATGTTAGAGAGAGAGAGAGAGAGAGAGAGAGAGAGAGAGAGAGAGAGAGAGATTTGGATGCCTTCGGAAGCCTGTCTCTAAAGGTATCTCTGCCACGAGCATTCCAGAGGTTGGCTGACTGCCCAGCCTATAGACAAACAAGCTTTTGCCAGTCATTTCAATGAACAATCTCTGAGGCTCCTTGGATGCTGCTCCTCTTGTTCTTATTTTCCAAAAGAAATGGGAAATAACAACACTTTCCCTGCGTCTTTCGGAAGCTTTCAGACCCACGGGAGTTTTGCCACAGTGTGCTGTGTGCGCCCATGTCTCCCACCTTCACTGGCTGTGGCAACCTTGGCTTAGTTAGCTGACTCTGTTATGGCCAACAGATCTCAGTCACAGCGAAGCTGTTCCAACCAGGATCACATTCTGCCCAGCCACTTCTCAAACAGTCACCAAGGCCTCAGCTGTGACGCCTTTGGTCCACCAACTGGACATGCAAATGTCACACTGTAACAGAACAGCCAAGAAAGGGGACATCTTGCCCAGAGGTGAGGTAAATGGTAAGAGAAAGTTCACGGACCAGAGGCCACGAGAGGCATCGTACTCAAGCGTTCTACATACAGCTTGATGCAGGAATATCGATCCTCTGAGAGAATGTCAAAGGCAAGGAGGTGCTTCTCTGTGCCCTAATATTTACTGTGGCCGCATCTCCCAAACCTTGCGGTCCAGACTAGCCTCTTCTGATCACCTGCTATGTTTTTTTTTTTTTAATGTTCCAAGGCGTCATCACACAACTAGAAAAAGAACCTGACTCCTCAGCTGCCATTTCTGTTGTCACCTTCTGACCAGTCAATGCTTGGGAAACAAAACATGCAGTTCTAGGGGAAAAGACTGTGGTAATATTTCTGCAAAGAAGTTGCTACCACAGAAAACTGAGGTTACCTCTCTATTTCTTGCCGAATACGTGGTTTTGGCACCATGCCAAGCCTGCCTGAGGAGTCACTGTTTAGCTCAGAGGATGTATTCTCGCTGCTTCTGTAGCTTAACCTGCTTAGTAAGCATACAGAAAAGGCTAGTTTCAGTTACTGTTAACGAGAAGTCATGTGACGGGAGAACAACTCACCACACTTTGAAGTTGAAAGTGCCTACGTGATCTGAAAATTATTTTGAAAAGTACCAACCACAGCTACAAAAATAAAAAAAAAAAAATAAAACTAGCTAAAACAAAGACTGAAACTAAAATAGGATTCATTGCATGGCTGAAGAGTTACAGGGAGATTACAGGGATTCAGATAATTGCTATCCTGATGCTCTTATTCTGTGAAATGAAAAGCAGGTAGCTTTTTTTTTTTATTAGTGTCTGACAGTTTTATGAAGCTGAAGAACCATCACCTTCGGAAAAAAAATGTGATAAAAGCATTGTATATATATATAGAGAGAGAGATGTATAATGAGAAGTCATCATTTTTCTCACAGAGCAGCTGCCTTCCACTGATCTATGTCAGCTGGTGATGACAATGGTCCCAATGAAGAGGAAAAGCAAGAGCCAATTCCCAGTTTCCAGGCAGTTAAAAGACCCACCCACTATTGTGTTTTGATGTCTAGCACACCCAAAGGCTGTTTGGTGCCCAAATAGCCTTAAACAAACCACTTTACAGTAGATCTTTGACTCGTAGGAAGAGCAATGGATCACAGCTCAGCTGCATTTTGTTAACCTATTTACATCACTTTTAAGCCAAACCCATAATGCATTTCAACAGAAGATGGATACAGCTCCAGTGAACTAGGACTAGGACTCCGGTTCCCCTGAATTTACTTAGTGCTCATAACTTTGAAACACAGTCACTGTCTTGTTTTAACAGAATATGGAAATGAGACTAAATGCTCTCAAGGAATTTGTGTAAATCACACAGTTAAAAATTAGAACAAGAGGTATTTGTGCTGGATTACCTGACTCATTCCAGAGTCCAGGCATTCATCTGTAAGGCTTTATCACAGTGCTAGTAACAGTACACAGGTAAAAACACTTCCAGGAGGCAGGGGGATCAAGGTTCAAAGTCATCCTCTCTCACAGAGTGAGTTCAATAGTGCCCTAAGCTATAGAAGATTGTGTCTCAAAACACTAAAATAAATAACCAGGTCCATGGCATTATATACATGTGTGTTTGTATGTATGTATATATATGTAAGTATGTATATATACATATACACACATATGTGTGTGTATGTGACTATATATATGCACAGATATTTATAAAGAGTGAGCCATGTTCTAGAAAATGTATCATTAGACAACTCTGTTGTGTGAACGTCCTAAAGTATGCATGTAAAAGCCTGGAGAGCATAGCCCACCACACCACTAGATGATACGCTACATGCTCAGCCCTCCCTGCTTCTCCCCAAGCCACCAGGAGCCAGTGAAAGCACAGGGAAGATGATGCAGTCCAGGGGTCCAGCAACTATGACTTGTGTGTAATCACTCCTGTCCTGACACGGCACACAGTTCCCCAGTCAGCTATTAAGATTGAAGTTCCCCAGTAGCTACTAAAACGCTAAGTAACACTAAGAGGTAGAGTAAGTCCAACGCTATCAGCAAATTGTTTAACATGTGTTATGCGTTCTTAGGGAACGTGCATAGTTACAACTGTCAACGGCTTCTTCACAGCAGCCTCATTATCACTAACCTATGAGTAATGTGTCATGATCTGACATCTTCACTCTAGTTCTACTGTCATGCTAAGGTTACAGTATTATAAAGGGTCGTCCAAACTACGTTATCTTTTGATCTCTTCCATGCAGGGGTGGCATGGTCCAAACCAGTGAGCAGTATGAATTCGTGCACCATGCGCTGTGCCTGTTCGAGAGCAGACTTCCACCAGAAACTGTCCAGTGACTCTGAAGATTTACCAGAGCGTCAACCTCTCATGGATTATAAACCAAATTACCTACCGGAGGCTCCTAGAAGGAGCTTCCCGCAATGGATGAGGAGGCCCTAAAGCCAGCCCGAGGCATGGATTGTGGAAGACCAGGCAACAGAAAAGATTGCCGGCCTTTTGTGTATAGGAATGCATTTGTAGGCATCCCCCAAACTGTCTCAGAGGTCCGATGCTGATGGGGCTATGACAGTTTCTCACACAGCCTAAGGAGGCTTTTGTTTTGTCTGTGTTGACTCTGCCACACAGAATCTATGTACGTAATCATCAGTGACTGTTGATCGTGGTGACAGTGCTGCTGAAGACATCGTCATCACGTGTTTAGATGCTCTACTGTTCATAAGGCCTGTCTTGTGACTGGACTGTCAGCTGTTCAACTGTTCCTGTTTTAAGTGCTATTACCTATCTCAGTTACCAGAATCTTGCTGCTAAAGTTGCAAGTGATCGATAACGAATTTTTAACAAATATGTTTTTTGTTTTTGAAAAAAAAAATCAAATACAGTAACTATTTTATATGAAAATGTGTCTGGATTATATCTATTAAATGTGTATTTATAGTACCTTCTATGGATCAATTACAGAGCACAATGATTGTCATTGGATATATATGTGTGTGTGTGAATATATATATATATACATATATATTCTATTATTAGGCATAGAGTGGCTCCTGTTCCGTAACTCGAGCCACTATATTTCTACATTGTGACTTGTTTTACTTTAAAGGGGGATAAACAAATTTATAGAACTATAAAGTATTGATAATTTTAAATGTTCATCTCTCTTTTACTAAAGGGATTTTTGAATATGCCGTCTACCAGGATTCCCTCTCCCAATAAAAGGCAGGTGCCCTTTGGGGATGCTCCAACCTGTTTTGTTCCCAAAGTTCTTCTGAGGACTCTGTCGTGCACGTCCCTACATTTCTAAAAGGTTTTGTTCCTCAAGAGACAAATGAAGGCAAAATAACTACACTCAGCAACATGAGATGTTCTGCTCATACATGAATTTTCATTGCAACAAAATTGACTTTCTTTCGTACTACCAATAAATGACTCTTAACACTAAATACTGAGTGAAGAATATTCTTTTCTTACCTCCATTTGAAAAAGATCATCATACGGGTAAACTGAAGTGGGGGATATGGTGGCTTTGATTTCAGTCTTTTCCTTCTCCTGGGGGGGGGGGGGATGACTCTCTCCAAATGTGATCCTGTAATCACTTGTGTGATGATGATCTAGAAGCACCATTATCGTGTGGCTTTCCTTATAGACGCCAGCATTTCATCATACAAACAGTGCATGTTTATGTCTTTACATCACTTGTCACAGACCCCATAAATGACACGGCAGAATCACATCACCTGAAAAGAAGCGTGATGCAGGAAGACTCAGTTATCTAACATTACAATTCTCTCTCTCCATTTTGAGTTTATAAGTCAGTCATGTGCCAAAGGGATGGCAGGGGGAAGACTTCTGGGGTTATTCTGGCTCCTGGTGGCTGGCTCTACATTTTAAAAAGACATGATCATTATCCCGTCTTTCTAAGGAAACAGACAAAAGGACATTGGTGTAAAACTTCCCCCCAAACAATTCAATTGGAGGAAGTGTGTCACTGACTTTTCCCCTCTCCATGAAGCACATTTCCTTCCTACTCTTTGCCTCTCTTATCTGGGAGAATTTTTTTCTCCCAAGCGAAGCATGAACCGTTGTTAAGTGGAAAATGGAGGCTGAATTTTACGTGACGATTCTAACCTGCCTGGTCCTCAGGAGCTTGGGTGAGTGGGTCTTCCTCTGTTTCCTGAGACATCTCTCTCAGAGTTAGCCGAGGAGGCTGGTAGCCTTGGGAAAAGTCTCTGAAATAAGTCAGAATTGGAGCTAGGTCTCCACAGCGGTGTAGCCAAAGACGATGAATAGCGGGGTGGATAAAAGGAGACAGCTCTGGCCACACTCCTGAGATTTCACTCTGGAAGAAAATAAGTGCTTACCAAGTGCCTGGCACAAGTCAGCCTCTAAAAAGATGGGCCTCAGAGTAAGGAACCCTGGACAGACATCTTTTATTGTTTATATGTAACAGTTTATTTAACAGTCTATAGCATTCTCTGTTTTTTTTTTCCCCCAGTCAGGTTATAGTTTTACTTTCTTTCATGTTGAAGAAAAATATATTCATAAGGAATGTGATTGAAGAGAGTAAAGAAATATGTTTTACTTGGAAGTTGTCATTTGGAAGGATTGAATATTTCCATGAGAAAACTAGGTAGTTTAGGTTAAAACTCATTGAAAATTATTACTGAGAATGGATATTTTATTTGTGAATGTTTAAAATTTGGGCATTTAGTCTTCAAGAAGTGCTGACTTTTTTTTTAATGTGCTCATATTTGGTGGAAAACTATAAACATTGTCACAGAATCAACGCTTCTCTGCAGGAGTGCAGGAGCTCAGCCTCTGTTGATCAGTACTTTGGTTGTTCACTGCCAGCAAAGGTTGTGCTTGGAAAATGGGGGACTCCCTTGTATTTCTGTCTTCTAATAAAAGGACCCAATTTTAAAAGTGTTTATTCAGACTGTACAACTTGTAAACAAATACTGACTTACTCTGTGAGCTGTGACTGAGAAGGAGGCCTGTCTCCCTTTTACATAGTGGAACGAGGCTATGATATAAAGAGGACCAGAGGGCTAAAGGGACAAAACTGTATACTGAATTGATTTTGATAATGCACACGCCACTCTCTGTTTTTGTCCTTCCTCATCCAATGAAAAGCCATAATCTTTGGATGACTTTGTTTCTCTTCCAAGATTCCTTTCATTTTTCCAGTGGGGGATAATATTCCTACTAAATCATACAAAAGTTTAGCAGGGGAGCGCTACATACAATGTTTTGACATTTTCCGTTGTCACCCTGAAGATATCCATTTTGTTATTGTTTCTGGTGTTATTGTTTCTGACTTATTTTATTGGCGGGTTGACTGGTTGATTTGGGAGAGTGTTTTTGGTGGCTTGATTACTTGCTTGATTGGTTGAGTTTGGGAAGATGTTTTCGGTTGGTGGGTTGGGTTTGGGGAATTATCTGCTTATCTCTTCGCCTTAGGATTTTAGGTCACGTGAGCTAAGCCAAGAGAATTCACTTGCAGTGCTAGAAAGATTAAAGTATAAGTAAAACTGGCATTTTTAATTTGGCTGATTTCGCTATTTAATGGCCCTTACACAGTACTTCATAAGTCTTTCATCTTCCAGAGGGGTTCCAGATAGTCCATGTACGTAAACAGCAATGCCTCTCCATAAATCAGAAAGTGATCATGGGCTCGTGCGATGGTACCAGCCAGAACCAACAGTGGCTGTCAACTGAGAACGGGAAGTTCTTCCATGTTAAATCTGGACTGTGCCTGGGCATCTCCAACTCCTCAAGGGGCCCCTTCCAACCAGCAGTCGCCACTCCCTGTGCCCAGGCACCCCGATGGACCTGCCATGATCAAGAAGGTTTCCTTGAGGTGGAAAATACCTCTCTCTTTCTCAAGAAACAAAACCGTAAAGTAGTGGTCAGGAAAATCAGTAAATACCTCGACAGCTGGATGAAATTAGACTTCAACAAGGAGGGGAAACTGGTCAATGAAAGCCTCTGTCTAAAGCAAGGTGAGTGCGTCAGTTCTGGAAGTCATTCTGCTGTCTTGTCTTCTCAAAGGCCAGGGAGAGCCATGTGCTCCAACCCATTTCCTTTGGGAGATACATACGTTTACCAACAGAAGCTTATTAAGTGGTGCCCAAGAGGAGAAAACTTCGTTATCCTCATTAAAGTCAGCAACATCTCTGCCTTTGTTATTTACCTTCCCTTCCTTTTTTGTACTTACGCAAATTTTAAAACGTGTGCCCATGTATGCTGGCAGTTTCTTGTGAGTACTACCTCTCCCTTGTAGAAAGGTCGGAAGGTCAGAGGGCCACCTTGGGTCTTACTCCTTGGCTTCCACCTTATTTGAGGCAGTATCTCTTGGTGTTCACCTCCGCACCCACCACACTAGCTAGGGCACACAAGCCTCTACAAACCCTCCCGTCTCCGCCTCTCACCTCACAGTAGGAGAGCTGACACTGTGCTATTGAGCCTGTGCTGTCCAAAGGTTCTTGGAGATCTGAACTCAGGTCTTCATACCTACTGAGTCATCTCCTCAGATCAAAAAAAAAAAAAAAAAAAAAAAAGCTTCTTGAGTCCCTCTTTTGTGCCAGACACTATGATCAAGCACTACTGAGTATTAGAATATACATCTAGGCATATACACAGCATGAGCACATAATGACTAAAGTTAGTGGCCAAGAAATTAGATTCTACTGGCCTGGAAACCTCTATCCTCTGGGGAGGAAGAATATTAAAGAAAATGGAGGTTCACAAGGCAGAGGTGGGACTAAGCCATGCTTTTGAAGCTCTCTCATAACGATGTTCATTGGGAGATAACACGCTTTTTTATTTTATTTTTTTAATAGTAAAAGCCAGTGTGTAGTCATAGATTTTTCTAATTTGTTGATCATTGGTGTCCCCCACATGATAAATATACATAAATATTTGTATATGCAAACACAAATTCTTGGTTCCATGAATAATTAGCCCTAAAGAAGAATGTCTGTGGAATAAATATGTACTTCATCTTCTCTTGAAGTTAGCTGCTTTCATAGTATATCAGCTCCTCCACTAGAGGTTGTCTCAGGAAGTCATGACAGACAAAGCTCAGAGTCACAGTTCAGTGGGCATGAAAGAGCCCTACCAACTGCTGGGAGAATCACTTAGAAATGAGTTTCCATACAGAGACTGAGGTTCATCAAGATGTAATAAATGTTCTAAATCCAAGTTAAGTCCTTTACTGATGTTCATCTCTTATAAGAGTGTCTCATCTCAGTGTTTCCCAGTCCTTCCCAGTACTCCCCAGTTGGTCCCAGTGCTGAGCCACTGGTTTTCTTTTAGCTGGTTGCGTGACAGTGCCATGGGGAAAAGGCAGAATTTACTAAAAACACAGATTCCCAAGATTCCTTGACACTGTTCTCCCTCCACATTTAGCTCAATATTCTACATCAAGAACTGTACACTTGTACTAGCACCAATGTGGGGCCATAGTCCTTTTGGGGATCAGCATCCACCATACCTTACGGTTTTTTGTTTGTTTGTTTGTTTGTTTGTTTGTTTGGTTGGTTGGTTGGTTGCTTGGTTACCCACCTCTGAGGCTGAGTTACACTTTTCTACCATGCTAATCTTTAAACAGTGTTGTGTCACTCCTACCCACGTGCGTAAGTCGCTGCTTGGCTGAAGGCTCTTCTGCAGAAGACATTGAGGTTTATGGTCTCGATTCTTGCACCAGTTCTGACTATGCAAAGAGGATAAAAATAAAAATGCAGTAGTCTATTAGAAAGTTAGACTCTATCAGAAAATATGCAGCACAGAGAGCCATCCTGTCCAGTGTCTCCCCTGTGTCTGGTTTGTTCAGGTCTGTCCTGGATGGCATAAAATCATGATAAATGTAGCAGTTGTACTGTTACCCGCAGGAAATAGGATCCTTCACTCACCTTAAGTCGTGTGAGGCAAGTGTTTATCTCCACGCTGAATGCAAGGCCTCGGTTCTTTGAGACCAGCTCTTACTATGTAGCCCAGGCTGGCCAGAAACTCGCCAACAGTGGACCCTTCCTGAGAGGATTCCTCCTCCCAAGTGCAGAGATTCCAGCTATGGGCTACCACACCCAACCTGAACCAGGTTGAAAATAAATATTTTTCTCAAATCACTATTTTAAGGCTAATTTTTAAAAACAGGACTCTAATGCAATTACTGTGGGCCATACAGATGGCAACAAATCAGGGTCTCCAAAAGGCCGACCTCCCTGGCTAAAAACTGAAAAGCCGAGGCTCACAATGTAACCCATAGTATTCCTTCTTCCATTACAGATTAATTGCTGTGCTCTTCTTTGTTTTGTTTTTTTGTTTTTTTTACTATACCTTGTGTTGGCATGAATTTTCATCTGTTAATTTTTACTTTCTTTCCAACTGGGTATTTATAAAGTAATTTAGGCATATATTTTTAAGTATGCCCTTTATTTCACTGACTACATTTTCTGAATGGTAATCATCTTGATCATTTCCTACTAAACTACTATAATTCCCATCCTTTCTCCTCCACCTTTAGGAAGCCCAATACTGTTTGGGGTGTGTATGTATGTATGTCACCTTTCCCTTATTGTCAGCTTCAGTGTTAGCTCGTCCACATAATCTACTCGCTTTTAATAGACACATCATATTTCATTATATTTGACATCTCTCTCCAGAGCAGAAATATAGTTAAAATTTCTTATCATAAAATGACTGTAATACAAGTTACTTTTTTTTCGACATGCTTGGATATTATTTATATCGTTTGAAGATGAGAAACTAATTTGAATATTGTCCTTTTCATTATACAAAAATCTTAGTTAATGATTATTTCTGAAACTGATTATTTTATTGCCCTTTGGGAAAGTATTCAAAAGATGGTCTTGATCTGCTCCAGTCAGCACATCGCATCTTACAGGCAAACTTGCCCTAACTAAGAGCTAGTAACAACATTAGTGAAAAAAATAAGTTTCAGATTGAACACAGGGTGCCCCACTGGTCTTAAATTGTGTTCTAGGAAGAATTTCACTATAATGCGAAAACAATGTAGTAGCAATGGCACAATAAAACGTTAAAAATAGCTTTAGCATATTGTTCCATTGTGTAAGAACTTTTCCTTGCCACCGTCAAGACATCTTCCTCTTTCTCGGATTGGGAAATGTCTGCACACGTCCATAGAATATTCAAAGATACATAGGCAGCTAAACACCTACAGGCCTACTATTTTTAGAATCATTTCATACGTCTATTCCAACAGAGAGTTCAGTAATAAAAAAAAAAAAAAGATGAGCTAACTTTGAGAGTCTTGTATATTTATTACAAGGATTTTCTTTCTTTCCATCTATTTTATAAACTTTCAATACCATAAGAAATTATCACAATTACTGGTCTGTAACACTGTTAACTCCAGAACTTGTAAAGTGGAGGAAAAGGATGAGAGTCCATGGCCAGCTCCAGCTAGTAATATGAGACCTTGTCAGAGAAAGGAGAGGGAGAGAGGGATGGAGAGAGAAGACAGAGACAGAAAGAGCAGAGAGAGAGAGACAGAGACGTAGACATGGGGACTGCATTTTGGTTCGTAGTGCGTATACAGCAAAGCCATAGACTAGAATCATCATCCAGGCCATCTGTTACAAATGGAGAGTCTGGGACCCACACCAAATCCACTGAATCGCAGTTTCTAAAGGAAGGCTAAGACAGGCAAACTTTAAAGGTGGCTCAGACATCAATTATCTTTACAAATCCCTGTTTTAAAATTCACAGATTATGGAAATTAAATGTTCAGGCTAAAATTTCTCTAGCTTTTAAATCATACAGACCTAAAATAAGGAGATATTAGAGTTAAATATGTTTTTTGGCAAAAAAAAAATAAAAATAAAAATAAGAGGGGGTTGCCTAAAGTGGATAACAGACGTGTTTGGTCTGAGGTATTTTTAAAATATGTGAGAGTGACTAAAGGCAATAGCAGAAGTTTGAGGGTTTCTCCACAAAAAAAAAAAGGAAAAAAAAAAAGCCAAAAGCTATATGCAGTGGTCACATCTGCAATGCTCTTTACAGAACAAATCTCCAGACGGTTTTGATCCTTTATTCATCTTTGGGAGAGTGTAGTTTCATCCACTGGTTGTGCCTCTTGACTAATTTATTCTTTAAGTTCTTATGATAAAAACTCACCAACTGTTTTCTAGTAAAGGAAGCATAGGTTGGCACACACACACACATACACACACACACACAAAAGTTATTGCATACTAGGTATTTGGAAGCTTGATTTGGGTCCTAACCCATTCTTTTTCAAAGAATCTGAGAGTTAAAATTGTGTTAGGTGGTCCTTAACTTAGGACCAGTTAGCACTGGCCAAAGCCGAAGGTGAGAGAGATGCTGACCTCCATCCACCTCCCATCTCTACACTAACAGATGCCTGGAGAAGAAAACATTTAATCTCTAAAGTCTGAAAGCAAGACTGAGAAATTAAGACTGTTTCTCAACAGTTGTGAAGAAGTCTCAGGTAGAACTGTGGTCAAATTTGCCATGAGAAGGCACCCTGAGCTAAATCTCAAGTGTATAACCCTAATACAAGGCAGTGATAGTGTTAAATGATGTGAAAGTAAAAAATAAATAAATAAATAAATAAACTGAAAAAAAAGTATATTCAGAAAGCTATCAAAGTGTAGATTTAGTAGACATATAAGGAAGGTTGCTGACAATACACATGGATGCCCACTTATATTTGAAGTTCAGATAAATTTTAAGTATATTTGTAATACACAGTATGGTACATAATTCTTGAATCATTTATTAGCACTATATAAATATGCTCAATTATACTAAAATATTATTACCTGAACTTCGAATTTAACTGGTGTCTTATATTTCTTTTTGCCAAATCTGCCCACACCTATCTATGCAAAGTTCTCCGCATGGCCCTTTGTATCTCAAGAAAGAAAAATGCTTAATTACCATGGTTACTTCATTAACTTTTATGAGAATATCTACTTATATCTTGTTAAGTCATAAATGGATCTTTTTTTGCCGTGAACCTTTTTTTGTTCCTCGGCCCCTCTTATTGACATGCATTGCCATGTGAAACGTACTAGTCAGGTAAAATAAGAATGGGAAGAAATGGGACTCAAAAGACGGATAAGTAAAGATGATTAGAAAGTCCAAGCTTAAGCCCTTCTTTAAGGGAAGGGGCAACTTTGCATTTAGTGGTTGCCTAATCATTAAATTAAATTAGATTAAATTAAATTAACAAGTAAAGAAGTAAGGAAAAGTAAAACTGTTGCTCGGATTCTTAAAGCCCACAATCTTCAAAGTGATAGATAGATAGATAGATAGATAGATAGATAGATAGATAGATACATAGATACATAGATACATAGATAGATACATACATAGATAGATACATAGATAGATACATAGATAGATACATAGATAGATAGATAGATAGATAGATAGATAGATAGATAGATAGATAGATAGATAAATGCCAGATACAGGATTCTGTGGAGTTTATAACTCAATATTGCCAAAGCCGGTGAAACATCCAAACATACCCTGTCAGCCAGTCATTTGCAGAATTTTCCAATCCTTTATTTTGTGTGGATTTGGCCTAGAATATTGCTACACAGCTACTCACAGGCCAGTAGAGGCATCACCTGGCAGCTTGTCAAAAACGTAAGAAGAGCACTTTTTTGTTGTAGTTACGGCGAGGTGAACTGATGTTGTTTGTTTGTTTTTCAATATGGGAAATTTAGCCCACCAGCTCATATACCCTAAATCACTAGCTGTTCTTTCAAAAGAAAATACAACAGCCTTGCTGGGTGGCACACATCTTTAATCCCAGAACTCGGAGGCAGAGGCAGGAAGATCTCTGAGTTTGAGATCAGCCTGGTCTACAGAGTTAGTTCCAGGACAGCCAGGGCTACACAGAGAAATCCTGTCTCAGAGAGAGAGAGAGAGAGAGAGAGAGAGAGAGAGAAAAGAAGAAGAAGAAGAAGAAGAAGAAGAAGAAGAAGAAGAAGAAGAAGAAGAAGAAGAAGAGGAAGAAGAGAGGAGGGGGAAAAGAAATGGGGGGGGGAGAAATTTTCAACATAATTGAAGAGTCATAGAATTAAAAACATTTCCCACCAGCAGACACTATGTTATAGTTAGACAGGAACAAGACATCCTGATGTGCTGTTTGACAGTCAGCAGTAATAAGGAATGTACTGAACATTCAAAAATCTAGAAGAAAAAAGGTTCTAAAACATATTTTAAAAATATGTTTGAAGAGAAAGATGCGGTAATCTGATTTAAACATTGTGTAATATATGCAGAAACTAAACATCAATAATACTCCATTAATACATAATTTCACGTTTTTATATATCATTTAAAATAAATTAAAAACACAAATTAACTTTCATAAATGTTTGCATCATGGCCCCACGGGAGCCACCATTCTCTATGACATAGTTAGGGAAGTCACTAGCAATGGTTGTCAGGGTGCAGTTCTGTTTCACACCCGCTTTGAGAAGCTGACGAAGGCTGTGACAGTTGTCCTACAGCACCCTATGAGTTTCCTAAGCGCAGAAGCCTGGCTAGATCTTTGGAGACCCTGGACCACTCCTGAGACCAACTCAGGGATCTAGACGTTCGCAAAATAAATTTGACCTCCGTCTTCTATGCATGCAGCACTGGCCTTTTCATATAGTAGATTTCGTAACTCCCCCTCTCAACCACATAACATGAACGAAGGATGGGAAAACTAGGAAGTGTGTAGATATTATAACACACTGATCTTTGTGCATATATATATATAACTAAATTTATCCACAGGCTTCTTATTGAAGGGGCTTTTTTTTTCTACCCACATACAAAAAATTATTTTTATGTGGTACTGGGAATGTGTCCCAGTTAGTAAAATGCTGGCCTAGCCTAGCCAGCATGATGCCCTGGGTTAGAGCCCTAACACTGTATACACCAGACTTGGTGGTCCACAAATGTAACATCAACACTTAGAAAGTAGAGGCAGTATGACCAGGAGTTCAACAGCCTCTGGCCACATAGCAGGTTCAAGATCAGTCTGAAACAGGTGATAGCCTATCTCAAAACAAAATCATTTTATGTGATGAATTGACATAAAATTTGAACAATGTGAGAATGATTGGGTTGTTGTTGTTGGTTTGTTTTTTTTTTTTTTTTTTTTTTTTTTTTTTTTTTTTTTTTTTTTTTTTTTTTTTTTTTTTTTTTTTTTTTT